CTTTTTCAGTGCCCAGCCACCCTCTGGGTGAAGAGTCTTTTCCTAACATCCAGCCTAAACCTCCCTGACACAGTTTCATGCTATTCCACTCCAGTCCTATCACTGGTCACCAGAGAGAAGAGATCAGTACCTGCCCCTGCACATCCCCTCATAAGAGGTTGTATACAGTGATGAAGTCTCCCCCTCTTCTCCAAGCTCCTCATTTGGCTTTGCTTCAAGGACCTTCACCATCTTCACTGCCCTCCTCTGGATGCTAATAGCTTTATATTTTTCTTATATTGTGGTGCCCAAAACTGCACACAACACTCCAGCCGAGGTCACACCAGTGCAGAGCAGAGTGAGACAATCCCCTCCCCTGACCGGCTGGGAATGCTGTGCCTGATGCACCCAGGGCTCCCAGGTTCCTTTCCACTGGGCTCCTCTCCAGTGTCTCAAACCCCACTCTGTGCATACATCCAGGGTTGCCCCATGCCAGGTGCAGAAACTGGCACTTGCCTTTGTTAAACTTCACATGGTTGGTGATTGCCCAGCCCTCTAAAGCCTCTAAGGCCTCTCTACAGGGCCACTCTGCCCTTGAGGGAGTCAACAGCTCCTCCCAATTTAGTATTATCAGCAAATTTACTTAGTATATCTCTGAGTACTGCATGCAAGCTGCCTATGAATATGCTGAAGAGCACTGGGCCTAAGAAGGAGCCCCAAGGAAGACACCAGTGATGGGTCACTAGCCTGATATAATCCCATTTGCTATAATCCTTTGTGTCTGACCTTTAAGCCAGTTGCTCACCTGCTGCATGATGTGTTTATCCAGCTGTATCCAGCCCTATGTTGGACATTTTGTCCAGAGGGATACTGTGAAAGACAGTATTGAAAGCTGTACTGAAAACCGAAAAAATTTCATCAACTGGCTTCCCTGATCAACTAGTGGGTTACCTTGTCATAAAAGGAAAATAGGTTTGATAAGCAGGACCTTCCTCCCACACTGGCTGTGACTGATGACTGTATTGTCCTTCAGGTGTTTTTCACTCACTCCCAGAATAATCTTCTCCATAGTTTTGCTATGCAATAAAGTGAGACTGTATTCCTCCCACATCACCTGATTTTGATTCCACTGGGCATACACCTTTTTTCACTTTATTTCCAAAAGAACATTCCCTGCCCAATCAAGCCAGCCTTCTGCCTTGCCTACCTGACTTCACACTTTGGAGTTGCCTGTTCCTGTGTCCTTAGGAAGTGGTGCTTAAAAAGTGACCAGTACTTATGGACCCTAGCACCTTCAAATGCATTTTCCCAGGGGATCTTACTTGCTAGTTTCCTGAGCGATTTGAGTCTGCTCAACTCATATGCAGGGTTGAAGTTTTGCTGGTGCTTTTCCTCCCATTTCCAGAAATTTTAAATTTGATTGCTGCAGCAAAGACAGCACCAATCTCCACACATAAGGCCCTCTCTGCTAACAAGCAACAAATCAAGGACACATCTCCTAGTCACCTCGCTTAGCACCCCTAACATGAAGTTATCATCCAAGTGTTTTAGGATTATTCTGGACCTGTTTGTACCAGATTCGTGGTATTGCCACTTAGCAGCTAGCACACTGAAACGCCCCATAAGGAGAAGGGCAGTTGATTTAGAGGCATCATATAATTCCATAAAGAATTCTTAATTGGTGTGTTTGTCCTGGCTGGGTGGTGTATAGTAGACTCATGCGATGACATCTGCTTAATTTGCTTGCCCTTTGATCCTCACCCAGAGACTCTCAACCATGTCATTGCCAGCTGCAAACTTTATGCATTCCAGCCCCTCCATTACAAACAATACATACATACCTCCTGCCTTGCCTGCCCTGCCTATCCCTTCTGAAGAGCCTGTAACATGGCACAACACTCACAGGACTCATCCCATTAGGATTCATTTATACCAATGATGTCATATCTCTGGGACTGGGCCAAAGCTTTGAGTTCCTCTTGTTTGTTCCTCATGCTGCACACATTGGTGCAGAAGTATTTAAAATGCAATTTGTGGTACTCGGCATCCCCTGGAGCAGACTGAAGTATCTCAGTAGTATAAAGTCCCTCAAACTTTGGTGTGCCATCCCAATTCTTACCACTGGCAAGCGTGGTTTTGTATCTTTCCCCTTTCCAATCTAGTTTAAAGCCCTATCAATCAACTCTGCAAGAACCACTTTCTCACTCTGAGAAAGGTGCATCCCATTGGGCCTCAGTAGACTATGTACTGAATAGACCAGTCCATGGTCAAAAACCCCAAAATTCTGATGACACCAGTCTTGGAGCCATATGTTAATCTGTTAGGTCTGTTTGTTCCTTTCAATATTCTTCCTTGCTACTGAAAGGATTGAGGAAAGCATTGCTTCTGCTCCTGATCCTTCAACCAATCTCCCCAAGGTCGTTAAATTCCTTTTGATTACCTTTGGACTTCTCTTTGCTAGCTCATTGCTGCTGACACGAAGAACCAACAGCAGACAACCAGAGCATCATTCCAGACTAGTGTCTTCTAGTAACATCTCTTAGCCTGGCCTCAGAGAGGCAGCAGACTTCCGTATGGGTCAGGTTTGGTAGATGTATCAGGCCCTCTGTTCATCTCAGGAGGGAGTCACTGATGACAACAACCCAGCTTAACAGAGGCAGTTGAGATGCATGGGGTAGGGTGTCCTGCTCTAGAGGATCCCTGTTCCAGAAGAACCTTCATCCACCTCATGAACTGTTTGTCCTTCCAGTTCCAGGGCCTCACACCTGTTGTATAAGGTACTAGAACTATGTGCCAACCTCAAGTCTTCAGGAGGAGTGGGAGCCTTCCTCCTTGTATATTCAATGACCAGTTTCCAGCCTTCATATTCAACAGACCTTTGACTTAGAGCTTGACATGGTTCTGAGCCCATCTGCATCTCCACTCCAGTGGAGGGTTGAAAGTCCCAAGCCTGGGAATGAAGAGGCCTCTTTGTGCCCTGCTGCACCAACTATTGTGTCTGTCTGCTGCCTCTGTTAGCTGTTCCCAAACGGTCATGGACCCTGGTTGCTGGGTAATGTGTACTTTATCCTCCCACCTGGCTAGTGGAATGGTGTCCTACAGAGAGAAATGTTCATGCCTTCCCTGCACAAACTGCCTCAGCATGCCCTGGCTGGCATGACCTGCTCTGTTTGCCAGCTCTTCACCATGCTCCTGGTCAATAGCACCTTCCAGGCTGCTTTTTATATGCACGGGTGTGGGTACACCACACTTAATCTCCTGTTTACATCCATGAAACCCAGAAAGAAAAAGTAAACAATGCATTACTTCAAGTTCGACTTCTGGATCTCTCTCTTCACCTTGTCGACTTCGAGTACTCTAGGAGGTAAAAACATTTCAAATAATTTACTGAAAATTGCAAGGGTAAGCTACTGATAAAATCCCCTTACCCTCTCTAGAGCTTCCACCCACTTCATGATTAAATAACCCTAAAAGACAGTTCTCAAGTACAAAATCTCTTAATATAGAACCCAGGTACTTGAATGACTCTGGTACAGTAATGAGACCTATCTCGTTCAACTCTGCAAATAAGCAAGGAAAGCGCATGAACATTTTACATTGTAAACTGTACTAAAGGAAAATTATGTAACATTAACATACACACACTACCATGTATCTTATCTGCCTAAACCCCAGAAGCTAAATAAATACTTTCCGTGCCTCAGCTCTGTGTTACCTTCTACATCATGATTCCACCTAAACAACTACTAAGAGTTTTGAAAATCTGAAGACTTCACCACCTTTAGCTAGAAGGCAAGCTACAAGCCTGTTACACAAACCATTACGGCAGTTCTTCAAAACCCCACCATTTAATGACACAAGCCTCCTGCATTCCCTATAATCCAACTTTCTGCCCCAAACCTGTGTTAAATACCCTTGAAATATCATTGATAAGGCAAATGTGAAAAAAATACCTTCACTCGTCTTTGCATGTCATCTTCTACATCCTTCAGCATACCTGAAAAAAATCACAGCCCAACTAAAAGCTGAGAAGCATTCTCAAGTACACCTACACTACCCAGGGGTAAAAACATTTTGAGGGGAAAATCAAGTCCAGAAGCGCTTTGTATACCCATTAGCAAAAGACTAGACAAAAAAATATTCTTGTGAGGGATGGTGGGGATGTCTTGCAACGACCGAAAAATTGGCATATAGACTGCCTGATATAAAGCTAAAGTGTTCACAAACTTTCCAGAAACAAATCAATGGAAAGCTCAAGTATCTGTAAAAAACAGGGCATCAAAAGACTAACATACATACTTGTGTATGTACCCAATAACATATGTATGCATAGCTGCAGAACTATTAGACTGCATCTTCTTCTAAAGCAGAATTTGTCTTCTTGTCTGCTAAGACGACAACAAATTCTGAGTCAACAAAGCAGAATTCTAGCACTTTCCAATGGTCTGTATCTGTCTCATAACGAGCTCACGCCCAGCCACCTCGCCTGCACACCCGAAAACACTTCAACTGTTTCTCAGGCATTTAACAACTAGACAGCTGAACCTTTTCGTCATGGAAAAATTACTTGGTTTCTCTTTTTACCAAGTCAGTGATTTTCACAAGACTAATAAGAAAACTTAACAGCTGAGGCTCCTACCAATTCAATAGGTTTGGATGAAAGCAACTACATGCTCAAGACACTGAGGGACAGATACACAGAAAGCACAAACTGTACCTGTAACTCTAAGATCTGTCACGCTGTTAGCCATTTTAAATCCGTAAGTCATTGACTGAAAATCTTCCTAAAAAAAAAAAAAACCAAACAAAAAAAGTAAGATCAAAGAAGCAATGAAAGCAGTGAAAGTTCTACATACATTTTCAAACTGGGGTTGTTTGCTTGCTGTGTTTTGGGTCTTTTCTGTTGCCTTTTTTTTTTGGGGGGTGTGGTGGGTGTGTGGTCTTGTGTTTAACTCCATCAAGCATGAAATCCAGTTTTATGCTACACAGCTAAACACACCTATGGCTTGGGTGACTTTCCTGGCCAAATCCAACTTGAAGTAATTATTTTATGCACAAATCCTTTACACCAGCATGCCCTTCATATTTTCATCATGTGACACTGTCCTGGGTTGCAGTGTGGGGGGTATCCAATGGTATGTATTCTATTATCATCTCGTCCCTCTCTTGGGGCAATCATGATGGCTCCCCTCAGGGGCTGTCTCTGATTAATGGGCTGTCAAGGACCCATGCATGACACATCCTCCCAGTGATCCTTATGAGATGCCTCACCCCGGGGGGGTGGGGAGCCAAACATGCTCACAGGGCTACAAGCTGGGGTTTGGACCAGCACAGGAGCCCTTTGCCTGCTGGATTCCCAGAGGACAAGAGCTGCTGCTGGACCTTCAGGAGAGGACCAGATCTGCGGGATCACTGCCCCAACAAACCCATTGCTCCAGGAGGACTGCAGCACCATTTCATCGGACTACTACTACACCCTGACTGACAGGGTGTCAGGTTACTTTCGGACTCTGTCAGGTTATTTTTTGTACTGTTGCATTCGTTGTTGTTTTGTCGTGTTGTTCATATTAAATTGTACTTCTGACTTGGAGTCTCCCACTGGTTTGCTTTCAAACCAGCACAGACACCCTGCCAAAATGTTACAAGAACTATAGCTGCAAACTAGCATTTAATCAATTTTAGATATAGTCAGCAAGAGTGATTTGTCCAAGCTCAGAGCATAGAAAACCAGACTCTGAATCCATTGCAGACAAAAGACAATCACAGTTATCTACAAAAATTATACAGGAAGGAAACAGTAGCTAAAACTGATTTCAAAAGGTTAGCCACAAGACTTGCATTACTTCTTGAGTAAAACATTTATGTGACTCCTGTACTCAAGGAAAATACAGAAGAGAGCATGAAACACCTTCATAGAGGAAAACTACATCTTAAAGGTATCAAGTCTAAGACTTTCAGGATGATGAAAGTGCTCCTACCGAATTTTCAAATCAAACGGTATCCAATATCACAAAAACATTGTTTTATTTGTCTCATGGAATGTTATCATATAATGTTACATATTTAACATAGAAGATACTGAAACACATACCTCCTCAAAAACAGCTGCTTTGTTAACCTTTTCTCTGGCAATATCACAGATTTTTAGGATCCCAAGAGCAAAAGCCTTCATAGCAGGATCTTCTATGAAGTCTGGATTATGAATATAAAGGCAAGTGAATACTGTCTGTGCCAAGGAATGTCCTTCTAACCATGTTATCTAGGGGAAAAAAAATTAAATGTTTTACTCATGACAATCAAGTCCTCATTTTTGTAGATCCATTCTTTTTCCATCTTACAGTGCTTCAATAACTCATTAAGGAACCCCTTATCATGGCAACCTTCCATCTACCAAAAGAGAGCACATCTGCTGGCTGTGGCAGACTGTAAGTTACTAAAGCCTATAACAAGCCTAAAATTCTGGTGTTGGATAACCCTCTTCTATAAAGTTCAGGTCTATTACCTGTGACTTAGGTGTGACATTAAGTTAAGAGACCATCAGATTTATAAGCTTCCTCTATACAAATACTGAACGCAAAATGCAAGTGGCAATGAAATAACTCACTAATATTCTGTATGTTTTTTCTCTTCTACAACTTAGAGCATCTTTTCACAATCCTCTCTCTACTACCTTCACGTTGCTTTAAGCTACAGGGAAAGCTTCTGTAATTTAAACAAAGATTTCTATTACCATTAAACAAAGAAGGACCATATTTTTAAGATGACCACCGTTCCTTTTCAAAAAAAGTTAGCATCTGGGGGTCAAGGACATAACACAAATTATGCTATACCATATCAGTTATAAAGAGGCCTTCACAGGTCTTTCTCACTAAACTGATTTGAAATGTTGTCTTAAAAAAACAGAGCATTGTAATTGACGTAATTTTAAAAAGCAACTGAAAATAACTAGTATCATTTACTGAGGAAATTAAAGCACATACATAGAAAAAAGATCACAGTTAACAAATAACTGATAACTTATTTTTTCTAAATGGATTTAGGTTATTTTATACAAGTTATCATTATCTTCCACATTTCTGATAGTAAAAAAGTTTAAAAAATCAAAATTATGCCTCTTACGCAAATAACTCCAATGCAAATAATTAAGTGGAAATTAAAATATTAAGTATGTATTTTCTGCTTGGTGAATCTTTCTGCTGGTTTTTGTTTGGTTTTGGGTTCTGAAGGTTTTTGTTTGGTTTTGCTTATTTCTTTAAAACTGGATTAAAGTATTGTATTTTGAAAGCAAAACCACCTAAGTTTAAGAACAGAAAAATGCTTACCAAACAACAAAAACATGTATCCATTATTCCTACTAGCTCAGGCGAAGTGAGATCCTTTGTTTTAATAGTGCCATCCTTAGAAAACAAATAAAGAAAAAAACTAAATACTGCAGAAGAGTATAGGCAAAATACAACCTGTTTGTACAGCCAAAAAGGAAATTAGAATTTTCTTAAGACTTCAGAGTAGTTGTATACCACTACTTTTATCGATCAGCTTCACAATGTGTCTCAAACTCTGAGAAACCTTCCTTTACCATCATTATGTTAAACACTGATCAAACATACAGCTGCTCAAAGAGAATGCTAAAGTAACATTTCTGATTTATAACTAACCAATAAAAGTTTAAAATCAGTTAACTGTCAACACTAAAATCACAGAACAGTACGTATAATCATAATAAACACTAAACAAGGAATAATACACAGGACCCATTCTTTAAAGACTGCTTCTTAAACTGCAGACACTTGTAGAGTTTTGCTGCCTTCAAAGTCAGGACCAAGAAGGCTGAAACTAAGATCATTTGACTTGTACAGTGTACGCAGCAATGCATACACTCATATTTTACAGAGTTCTCTCAGTCCATTCAAAAACAGAGCTCACCATAAAAAATACTTTTTTCATCTGAGTGTATTATTTTTTCTAAAATAATAAAGTCTTTCAACCTCCCTCCACCAATTCACCTTGATTATGCATCAAACGTTAATGCTATTAAGTTCACCAGCTTCTGTTCAATGCCAATAAACTGTTAGTATCATAAAGCATTAATTTCTGGCTTTTTAAGGAAGTTAGTTTCCATTCAGGTTAAATAGGGCTGATCAACACATCTTCATATAAACGATGCATTTCAGAAAAGCACAAGGTCACTTACAAAACCATTTCTGAAATACATTTACTTGAGGTATCAATATCTAATTATTTCACAGTACTTTTCGCTGGAAGAGTCAGCATCACTGTGATAATGCAGGTAACAAAAAAGGTAAACATCACAAGCTCTTTCTTATTTAACTATCCAAAATGTTTTAGAAAAAAGAAAAAAATTTCAAGTAAAGACTGAAAACTTTAACATCTGAATTGTGCCGAAGTGCAATTTGATAAAACTTTTACAGACAGTGTAGGCAAACCCAGGAATTTCACACAAACCTTAATAGCTTGCTCAAAGTTAAGAACCTTCCTGTTAACTTGGTTTCCAATCATACCAGCATCCATCTTGGGATCCATCATTTCAATGGCAGACATGGCTTCAAAAAGACCAAAACTAAGAACACAAATAAAAAAATGTTCTGAATATAATTACTTTATGCAAAGTAGTCTTCACAAACTAATGTAAAAGAACACATGACAGACACAGTACGCTGCATTCTAACTACAGACAACTAGGTAGGGTATGTTAATGTTAGTACTGATCTTCAGAGATCACGGTTTTCAGGAATTTGAAGATCTCTCAACAAGTTAGCAAGAGAACAGGTGGCTAAAAGTACAAGAAAACACTTAGTCTTTTTTTAAAGCTGAAGAACACCCTGAGCCAAATATCCTATTACTATGCACACGTTTCTAAACATTTCATCATGACATAGCACCTTTTAAAAGATCACAGAATAAGCTGATAGTAACTGAACAAGCAGTTTTTTATTACACTACATTCAAACCCCCAAGATGTATCCCCCACAAACTAACAATGGACTAATACACATTGAATATACCAGCTTTGTTTAAAATGGCTTTAAGAACACCAACACAAAAAAACCCTCAGCATGTGACAATGGATCACTTGATGTCAGGGAATAAAAGCTTGCAGAACCACACCAAATGAAGACTTGCCTATAGAAGGAGGGATACAGTGCCTCACCTTTGGTATGTATGATAGTCATCTGAACTGCTGTACCAGTCTTTGTAACATAAAGTTAATGTATGTGGCACATTTTAATTCTGAAAAGTGTATTTGCTCCGAAATGCTCTTGTGGATACAATTATACCTGCAAATGTGCTTCCACGCTACTAACTACGTGGTGACATCCTGTACAAATTTTTAAGCAGGTTTCCATTTAATAGCATGCTTCTGTTTTCTGAGTATTAGTCTCAAATCAGCACCCTTTTTTTCTTTATGCAAGTGAACAGATTTGTGTGGCTAAGCAATTTAATCTTGAAAATAATTCTTTAAATTTATCGTTCTTCAATGAATTCAGCAAGACTTTTAGCACATTTTTTTTTTTTAAATACACTTTTCCTCAATCTGTGGAGTTCTCGCTTTCTGTCTGAGTGTGTCATTTAAGTTACATTGAAGCATATGGATTGTTTATCCTAAGCTTGTTAGGGACATTTGAGGCAACTAAATTTAGTCTCAAAGTCCTTCTGGCATTTTCTTATAAAAGTATGTCCACATAAAATAGTTTAGTAGGTTCAGTAGTGTCGTCACTACTGAATATAAGATGTGCTATGAACTTCTAAAATACACTGCTTAATTGAAAATGCAGCGTTATACCTACACCATGAGAAATGTTCAGTATTCATACAGGTGCAGCGCATAGTGCTGAGAAAGAACGATACTCTGAACACTTCAAATATTTTATTTGAAGTTAAAAAAACCTCAGTTATTAGTAAACAGTAACACGTGTGCACTAACCCTATCTAAAAACCAGGACCACCCCGCATGCATACTTACAGCTTATCATGAAGCAGTTCTCCTAACTTCAGCTCTACAAAGCAATAGGACAGGACAAACAATTACAATCATCCTACCATCACAACTTTTCCAGGATAGTCTTGCCACTCACCAAAATGCCTTATGCTAAGAGAACAAGGTGTGGGAAGCAGATCAGACATTTCTACTCTGCCTTCATTTACTGTTACTTACGAAGCACTTTCAAGACTGAAAGGATAAAAAACCCCAGTGGTTCACAGCCTTCTCTTATTCCTCTCTGTTATTCTAATTGTCAACAAGGCTCTAGAATTATCAAATAGCCAGTAATGTGCACTCAGAGCCCAAAGAGCTGATATCCTGGGCTGCATCAAAAGCAGCGTGACCAACAGGTCAAGGGAGGTGACTCTGCTCCTCTGCTCTCACGAGACCCTACCTGGAGGGCTGCATTCAGGTCCGGGCTCCCCAGCACAGAACAACATGGACCTGCTGGAGTGAGTTCAGATGGGAGTAACAGAAATGACTAGAGAGCTGGAGCACCTTTCTCATGAAGACAGTCTGAAAGAGTAGGGACTGTTCAGCCTGGAGAAGAAAAGGCTTGATGGAGACCTTCTAGCAGCTTTCCAGTACCTAAAGGATGCCTAGAAGAAAGCTGGAGAGGGACTTTTTACAGAGGCATGCAGTGACAGGACAAGGGGGAATGCTATTAAACTAAACCAGAAATTTAGATTAGATGTTAGGAAGAAATTCTTTACCGTGAAGGTGGTGAGGTGTGGCAACAGATTGCCCAGAGAAGCTGTGGATGGGCCATCCCTCAAAGTGCTTAAGGCCAGGCTGCATGGTGTCTTTGAGCAGTGTGGTCTGGTGGAAGGTATCCCTGCCCATGGCAGGGGAGTTGGAACAAAATGGTCTTTAAGGTCCCTTCCAACCCAAATCAGTCTATGGTGATTATTCTATGAAATAGCAGCATCTGAACAGCCTGGAAACAGCCAGAACAGCAGGTTCCAGTGTTCTTTTACACAGGTGTCAGTCTTTTCCACGGATGATTACTAAGAGGCTTCCTTTACCTCATAACTTTTAAAGAAGTCTTTAGACATATTTGATGGGTACACACAAACAGGTATGAGTAACATGCAGGAATTACTTGGTGGCATATGAAAATTGTGGGTTTAATTATTTAATACTGTGTGTGGTTAGGTGCAGTTTTACATTTATTTTTCCCTAATGTCATCATAAAATCAGTTGCAAAAAGCTGTAAACTGCCAGTAGTATCTAGCACTGTTTAAATGGAAGCAACTGCTTTCCCGTTACAGGGATGCATTACATCTCCTCAGAAACTCAGCCTTGACTCAAAGATGAAAAATGAAGCACTGATGAATTAAATGAATTGCGGGACTCTCTAGACACAGAAATACACAGGAAAGAAACAGTGCTGATTCTGCACGCATGAATGAGTGACATTTCCATTTGGCAGAAGAGACAGGAAGAAATCTTTGCAGAGAAAAAAGAGCAAGTGTGAATACACATATGATGGAAGAATGTGAATTAAAAGGATACTTTTAATCCTGTAATCTGGAAGAGGAGCAAGGTGAGGTGGTTCTGATATCCCCAACCTCACAGTTAACACAGCATCAGTGTAGCTCGCTCATCTGAAGCCTGAACCTGGGTCAAACTAAGTCCTCCAAAGGATTCCAAGTTTCCTCAAAACACAAGGAGTACAACTCACCTCTACAAGCTTCTTCAAAATCCTGGGTTATATCTATCCAGCTGGTGTTACTCTTTTCCATCTTGTCAGGCACACCAAGTTCCCACCCAGAATCATCATCTTCTACAGAAGCTTTCATAACCATGATGCTGCACCTTTAAATCCCTATTGGCGACACCAGACATCAGCACAAATCACAGAAAGTGCTTCATGGGAATGCTTTTGTGTTTTCTAGTCAAGCATCAGGTGAGAAAGGGAGACTAATTAGCCTGGTTTTATTTAAACAAATACTGTTACATAAAACCAATCAAACCCCCCACCTTAGCAATAAAAATTCTCTTTTAAAAAATGTTTCCTTATTCATCATTTCTCCACAATTAGCTCAGAACCCTCAAAAACTAGCAACACCAAAATGTCAGCAGTACAGAGCCATAATAAAGTGTGTGCTGACAAATAAGAGAAGGGGCAGCACCTCCCTGCTCCTCTAAAGAAATTACTAAGTGGGAACCGTGAAACTCATCACAAACGAGTTTGTTGTTGTTATTACATATAGAGTGTATTCAGATTCGTGGAAAAGGACCTGTCTCCTCTGATTTCCCCTGCAGAAAAGCCGTATCAAGATTACTGCAGGAATGTTAAGCAACTTGAGACTGGAACACAATTTTTAAACTTCACCGACCAGTTGCTCGGAACTGGTCTTACGCTTCCGCAATCTCCTGACATTCGGGGCAATCTCGAGGCATTTTGCCGGTCAGATACATACCCGCAGTGCTACACTGCCCTTACCCACCCTGAGATCTTG